AATTTATATTTATATATATTTGTATTCATATATAGTGTAAAACGATGAAAAAGAAAAAAGAATGAATATTGAAATGTTGATTTGTCAGGTGAAACTATTGGAAGGTAATACTGGTGGAAGACGCTTAAGATAGATATGTTTGAAACTAAAATATCTCATTTGATTGCATGCGGATCCTTCAAGAATCTTCGTCGTTTGTGAGCAGCAGACATATATTAGACAAACCTTATCACATACTTCATAAGAAATCGAAATTAGTTACTCGCCTGATGGGCTGATTGTGTGTGAAAAACTCATTCGAGTCTCAAATGGGCATCTAACGCATTCATTCGATACGGCTTATGCAAACTTTCCGGAAGTGAATTTTTTTCGTCACAATTGGAAAACTAGCTGACTAACATTGAGGCTTGTCTAAAGTGAATCTCATCTTTTTTTTCAACTAGAAAGTTTTCCTATTCTAGCATCTTGTTGATATTATTCAAGTTCTTTTTCTTCAAAGTTCTCACTAAACTGCGGTTGATCAAAGTGCATTGAATAAGCTATGGTTCTGCGTAAAATTTCGGTGATCGATAGGTCGCCTAGTCGAAATAGTTTCAAATAGTTCATATCTCTGCTTATTAAATTATCGGTTATCTTCATAATAAGAACGACAACCTGTAGTATTAATGATGAGTGCTTCTGAAAAAGTGCTTCCCTTTCTTCCTGTTCTTCCCTTCATTATTTAATTGTATTGTATTTTCGTTACCACTTATTGCATCAATTTTTTAATGCATAAAATGTTACTGCCAAGCATATACCTGTGTATTTGAACATGACTTGTAATATCACAGTAGTATACTGTACGCTAGAATATATTAATGATATTGTGATTCATTCACGTCAGTTTACCTTATTTTTCACCTGAAACTTGAAGATCCGTATGAGAAGGAGATCGAGACATTTGGATTTTCATGCTTCGGAATCTTTTTTTGTGTACTGTTTGACCAACCACAGCAAGAACATCATCAACACCATTGATGATTTATACGAAAACAATTAAACGATCTGTTCGGCGCGGCTCTTTTACTCTTGCTACCAATAAGCTGTTGATTTTGTTGCTGCTGCTGGTGCCGGTGCAGCAGCTAACTCGATGATGCATTTCTGTTGGCTGCAGCTATTTAGGGCGGTCTTTAGTCAATTAAATGAATTAGAGATCTGATGAACCAATCAGAGGACAGACTTAGCTATTTGGCCCAGCTATTTGCACTAGAAACTAGCCAAGCAGCTAGCGAAGAAGCCCGGAGCAGAGCACAACCCAACTCCTTTCAACAACTCATCATCAACAACAACAACAACACCGAAGACAACATCTTTTATCATCATTGTGAAATGCGATTCGTTCACTTCATTCATTCAATCATTCGCTCATCCACTTAATTCATTTTCATTTATTTATTTATCAATCTATCATCTCATTTTTTTTCAATTTCACTTCCATCACTTCTTCTGATGTCAACAACTTATCCACGTACATTATATTATCATGCCAAATACAACATCACAGCTCGTACAATACAAGCTTTCGTTTACCCGCCTGTCTCATATCAATCACACACATACGTACATCCTCTCCCAATCTTGATTGTTTAAATCAATCATCATTCAACATTATGATTATCACATGATCCATCAATCAGAATCGGGCAAAATGTCAAAGCTGAAGAAAAGAAACCTTTACTAATGTTTTTTGTTTAGTGTGAAATCTTTGTGAATTCATCTAGCAAACAAGCATTAATTGACGATCCATTTTTAGCGTGTGCACATCATTGTTTTTTCATCTGTTTTCTCTTCGCCCAGCAATCTCTAGGATACTTGTACTAGAAACGATAATTATGATAATAATGATGATAACTGCGATAATAAACTATTCCTGTAATATTGCTTCACCAACGTGACTGTTTCACATTTCCATCGTTCATACTCAAATTAACGTCTCCTCAAATATTTCATCTCAACCGCTTGTCAAAAGATTCTTTAATTGAGTGCAGACATAATAATTTCATGATTCATCAATCACGTCATTGTTTTCATCCATCATTTTCAAGGACTGCACAAAAAACATGAAGCTAATCAGAGTTTAAGCGCATAAGTTTTACAAACGATGCAATAAAATACGACGACAGATTACTGTAATGGCTTCAGTTATGCATTATCAATTTTTCATAATATAACCAGAACTCATACGTATTATTGTCATCATTATTATTAGTGATAGAATCATAGTAACTAAGATAATCATGTTTAATAACAAATAATATTGCTCATTTAACTGTCACTCAACAAGCAATTTTCTTTGTAAAATTTCTATTTCTATTCCAAGAAACATTTTAGAAAGTTGTATCGCCCAACAATGCATAACTAAGTGCCTCGTTGATGTTCTGACTGCACCCAAGATGATTTCTGAGTTACGCTGCTGTTTTACTAATGACTACTTGTCATTCAAGCGGTTAAAATTCAACTGGTATAATTGTATTTATTTCATTTATTCACTTAATTCAGTGCCTTCCAACTACATTTTATTCATTCCTAGCCAACTTTATCGTGATATTTGAGATGCATACTGCTTACTCATCTTCAATCAAATAATTAAACAATATCAATATGATGGTGCATCATGAAAATATCTACCTCAAAAGTTTTTATTAAATAACGATTATATTCAGTTGTAATTTTCAGTGCTTGCGATTCACTTGATTATAATCATACAGTCACACTACTCCAGGGTTTGGGCATTGATGGGTGGTGCAACGGATGCATGCACCCCCACCCCACCTCCCTACCCCNNNTCCCCCCCCCCCCCCCCCCCTCTCCCCTTTCCCCTTTCTGGAAAAAGCTCTGATTACGTCAACGACACCACCCTTATAAAAGTATCATATGAACATGTGTGATTGCTATCTAATACCTTGTCCGTTAGCAATCAACTTCTAACTTCTTCAACAGAATTAACTTGTTAAACGAAATTGAATTGCTGAAGCAATTAGTTCATCGTTGTTGGTGTAGCACAGCGGTATCTTGCTTCTTTCCTCTGCGTTATCCTTTAATTTTGCTCACAAAATTTCCTCCATCTACATGTATCATGTTTATCTTATAGTTGGAACAATTGAAATAAATTAACCAGCAAGTATGTGCTTTTGATCGATTAAATGTCTGCTTATTGAGAAACGCTCATTAATCTCAATAATCAAGAAAGAATCAACATATCTAATCAAATTGTTCTATTACTACTAAAATTTTTATACTACCGCGGAGAAGTTTGTCGGTTTGTTTCTTATAGTACGTTGTCGCTTCTTAATTTCTGTCCGTTTTTCTTCTGCTCTCTTCTGTAACCAACAAACTGAAATCAGACGTTGATCAAATAATTTTTACTCGACGACAATAATACTGCAATGATGATTGTAATGATAGTATTATCATTATCATTATTCGTATGCTTATCATTGTCATGAACACGATTATTACTGCTATCATTAGTAACAATTCTTGATAATCACTCAAATCCAATGACGGTAATATTCAGATCACGATTCTGACCATTTTCTCACTGTAGCAGTAAAATCCTCTCACTTAAAGAATTTAAAGGTCTAGAGCGGAGGATTTTAATTTATGTATATGATGAATACGACTGAACACTATCGTTTGATCTTCAACATCTTCGTCACTGTCGTTTGTATTGCTTATCATCGATCTTTTTACTTGTCATTCACTGTTTTAGTGATCGTTCATCAAACAACAACAACAGCAATATCAATAAATGCAACAAGTGTATTAAAAAAAATAACGACCTGATCTCATTCTATGTATTTGATTGACTAACTGATTATTCGCAAATCTGGAAAGCTTTTGGCCGAGAAGTTAAACGATTGTGTATGCGTTCGTTGAGAATGAGTAAGAAACGATCATTCTCGGTTGAAGCCTTACTTCAGCTCGACAACAATAGTGCTGTTGCTGCTGCTGCGGCCGTCAATGCTGAACAGCTTATCAATGAAGCTAAATTAACGGAAAGCAGCGCTGCAAGAGGTGATTAACATTGTTAGCTTTCTATGAATGTCATTCTTTTTTTGTATGTGTATTTCTTTCTGTGAATTTTTTGAATCATGTTCGTTTTGCTAAGTACTAAATCTGTAATTGTCATTTTATTCTATTCATTCAGTTCAATCTGATTTAGCTGATCATCGCTTTTCGATTCATTCGATGAATGGAAATAAGCTTAAGAACACTGCTTCTCTTCTTTGCTAACTTGATGTGATTATTTCGTTGTTTTCCAAATGCTAATGAGGCAAAGCCGCAGTCAAAAATAATCAACACTCATCATTGTTAATAAGTAGAATTTTTCTCAAGCGTATTGCAGCATTAACATCGTAAGAATTCATCATAAGAGAGCCCGGTAACCGTTAAAAATCTTTTAGGACTAACTCTCAAGTCAGAAACAGCAAGAAAACAAGAACGCATCAATAAAATTCTGCATCCACCTAAGCAATTTCACATATTTTTTTGAATATTCGGAGCAACCGAATATTTACCAAACTCATTTGCTTAACTAACCACCAGCCATCTCCAGTTATTAGTTGCCGGCAGTCAGTCTAGTTGCGAGCAGCGATCTTGCATTCAGACAATTTAGTGGTATTGATCTCCTTTTTTGGTCAACGAAAGAACACGAAAAGAGAACGAAATAGATCGGGGAATGCATAGGTAAACAGATCGATGGATGAATAAATCGATGCATGAATATCTGGCTGGATGGAGGGATCGATGAACAAGAGCATTGAGGCTGCACCTTTGAATTATAATGAAATGTGAGATGATTGACGATCACATAGAGTAATCAATCAATGAACCTCCTCAATAAATCATCAATTAATCCATAATTCAATTTCTAGAGCATTTGACGGCATGTGTAAAAGCATCTCCATCAGTTAGTAATCGACAACCAGTAGCGATAACAGCAACAAAAATGAAATCATCAGCTAATAAAACAGTTGTCATCACCAACAGCTCATTTACAAGCAACAATTCATTCAAACAATTACCACCTTTACCACAAGCAACCTCGTCGGCTACAAGCTCCGATGACTTAAAAAGAAGGTACGCAACAAATTTCTGTTGAATTCTTACCACCTGAAAACGACAAATCAAAATGGATCTTATTCAGAAAATGATTTGATTTCTGTTGTACTTGACTTCGAGAATAGAAATGATGTGTGTTACGATCAAAATATGATTTGTGTGGTAATAGACTCCATCATTCATTCAGTGAAATACAGATCACTGACATCGTCGAAAGAGGCAAAAGCTAGGCGTGCTAGGACTGCGTTCACTTACGAGCAACTTGTTGCGCTCGAGAACAAATTCAAAAGCACCAGGTTAGCAGTGATATTCGAATATGTCGTTCATTACACTTCCATATGGCTATTCAATTACCGTACTACTACTACCATTATACTACTATTCCTGTTGTCCATGTGACATTTTTTTCGTTTCTTAAACAAGCATTTCAGGTATTTGAGTGTTTGTGAAAGGTTGAATTTAGCTGTCGCCTTACAACTTTCTGAAACTCAGGTAAGTGAATCTCGCCGGATTGTTATTTTACCTGTGGTATGTGTTGTAGTCGCTACTTTGAACATTCAACGACTCCACAATTTTCTAAGCATATTATCATTTCTTATCAACTTAAGTTACATGATACTTTGAGCCAATCGCTTCAATCGTAATAAAGCTACGATAAATTTCAAACATTACAAATGGCAACAGATCATCCATAATAGTATCAAGTAGTGCCCCAATAACTAATGTTCATTGCTCAATTGATAATTTGATGACACAACAATCTCAGGCATTTTCATAATGAATTGCTCAACAAAATTTTTCAACCAGAATAAACGTTTTCGACCCACCTTAGAACTACACCGTTTGGTGACACAAGTTTTGTTAAACAAAAAAATTGGATACTGAAATAAAGCCAATAAAAATATTCTCAAGAAAGTGACTGACATAAGCATGCCTCTACTCCTTTCTATATTTCGATAAAGTTGAAAGAATACAGTCGATTGCTATCCAAAACATTTTCTTCATAATATGTTAATCAATGCTGCATTGAATTACTTCCAAAATTTTATAATGTCTTTATTGTTCAGGTGAAAATTTGGTTTCAAAATCGACGTACAAAATGGAAGAAGCATAATCCAGGAATGGATGCGAATGCGCCATCATCATCAATGTCACCGCATTCCATACATTCCCACTCGCCAAGTCCCTCTTCCACATCGTCGTCAATAATTAACACATGTCCTAATGCTGCTTTCAAAAAAACTTCATTATTGACCAAAACAACTTCATCTGCTGCTGCCTCAACAATTTCCACTACAACAATAAATGATAACAGCCATATTGATAATATGAATAGTAGTAGTAATAATTTATCATCTATATGTCAACACCACATATCGAATACTTTATTAATGTCTTCTTCAATTAACCATCTACCGTCCTCAGCTGCTGCCATTACCAACAACCCTGTATCTTTTCCCTATGCAGTTTATGCACTTCCGACACAGCCTGTTTTTTATCAAACTCCTTCATTAACCTTTATTTAATAGCTCATAACAGACCTTAATTTTATAAGGAATAATGATAAATGATCATCTGTTGAACATATCCTCTCAGATATAATCCATTTCACTGTATTTCACATGTTCACTTCTCCTTAAGGAAGCTATATGCTCGCAACCAATGGCTATCAATTAGCATATTGTTTACAATACAAAGTTTAATGAATTACCGTAATCTTTACGGTTATTCTTTATGATCGTTGCTCAAAAATACATAAGTTGTATAATTGCAAGTGCTCATTTGTATTAAGAATGAGACGTTTACTCGTGAGAAATACTTTCGTGATGACGAGAATGGTATGATCTTTGTTCAGTTAGCAGTTTAGTACTGGGCTTTTTACTGGGTGAGTATTAATGTGCTGATTGTTTATCTTTTATGATCACTCAGTAAGGTAGAGTTACAGAAATGTTAGTATGATCAATTGCTATGTGTTTAGTGGTGGTGTTTATTCTGTATTCTGTTTTGAAGCATAAATGATAGAAATAACTAGCTTGCATCTAATTCCTCACTGCCCAGTTGAAATCTCAAAACATTAGCTGAAGTCACTTTGTTCCATCAAAATTAACTAATAATTGAATTTGGATAGTGTCTGAAGATAAAGCATGGAATAATGCAAATGGTGAAAATTATTTTCTTTTTCTTTTTTCCATGTTCTCATTCATTTGCTAATAGTTGCTATCATCGTTATCACTGATTATCAGTTATTTTGCGGGTGCTACTTCTCATTTTATTTCTATCTTCATTACTTTTCCCCTTTCCATTTCAATTGTTTCATTGTTTTCCATCGTTTTTAATTGATCATTGTTATTTTCCGTTCTCATCAACACCATCAATATCAATATCATTACTATTCTTCTTGCACAAACCACCAAAACAAATCTTCAACTTGCTGCTATTACTCTTCTTCGCTAATTTATGAATCTATTGAAACGCTGTTCAAAAAATACGGTTGATTACTTCGTTTTTTTCTGCATTTATTCATTTGTTCATTTATTCATGATTTCTCATGTTCGATTATCTTTCTTCTAGCCAATCAACGAATCGGTACTGCTCCACATATCTATTCTTGTTCAATTGCAAATTATCATCATCTCATAATATATCTCATACTGATATAACGACAAGTTACCACCAACTTAATCAATCAAATTTAATTAATCGAATCATCAAAATGAAAAAATATCTTTCATTTTCAAGCTTAAAACGAGTGAAAAGGAATCTCCTCAACGAATTCAATTTTGTTTCGAGATTTTAACCTCTTCAGTGGTTCATCCAGCACTTTTCTGCTCATATACGACATTCTCGAATTAATGCGATGTGATGATGACTCTGGTAATTTTGGTTGTTTAGTTGATTTTTCATTCGTTCATTACTTGTTCATAAATTATATAAATATTTTATTGTATTATATTGTATTCCAGTACATTATATCTTTAATGACGATACCGTACACCGTCATTACCCTACAAATTCTCTTTGGCATATCATCGTGCCTAATTTAACATAATAAAATTTTCATTTCATTAGAAAATTTGTTCTTCCACCCTAACATACACGAATACACCTATAATACTCTCCACTTATTGTGGACTCATTTTCCAAAACGTGCTAAAAGAATATGAACGACAAATGTAGATGAATGGTAACAACAAAACAGAGCAAAACGAACTGAAACAGTGAAATAAATATGCTAAAAGCAGTAAATAACTGAAGTTATCATCCAATCACAGAATCGCAACTTGCTTCCATGATTGTTGCGAGCATTTACTGTCTGATAGAATTGTTTATGAATACTCATTATAACTCTCTGGTAGATGCTTAGAATTAGTTGTGTCTTTTGAGCATGTTTCTTGTCATATAACAACACTTTTGATCAAATCATTTCCATTTTTTTCATCTACCAGCACATGTATTCAATTTGAAACATATGGTATTGAGTAGCACATTAGATCAGATACAGAGACTAGCGAGCATTTTGAGAAGCTATAAAAATAACTGTTTCAAATGTACATTCATATTACATCAACTTTCGTTGCTCATCAAATTCAGTTCACTTGATTGCTGTGATGAACACTACTAATATGATTGATTGTGAAAAACGCCCGCTTAGGGAAACAGTTTTGGATAACTGCACGGGGACGATAAAACACGATTCAGCAGAAAATAATGGTGATCGTATTGCTTTAAAATCATATTAAGATTATTAATAATGACAATAATAATAATAACAATAATAATATTAGTAATAATAATAATATTATTATTAATGTATGATAATATTATTACATAAATTATATATATAACCGATAATAATAATGATTTTTAATAATAATATTGATATCAATAATAATAATTATAATAATGATAATAACAGCGGATTCGATGACTTCCTATTCACTAACGATGGTTTCATTGACAAACTGATTTAGTCTGTTCCTTCACAAAACTTTCCTCGTTTTTTCATTGATCAGAATTACTACTTTATGTTATTACTATGATTAGTATGTTTATTATCACTGTTATAATCACTATCCTGATATTAGTGTTATTACTCCTAATATCATCTGTTTGTGGGTCATGCATTTGATGTTCCTGGTTATTCGATGCGGCATTCAGCTGCATCCCAGCCTGATCTGTAATTCACAGCATTGTTATTACATATGAAATATGTACATCAGAATATCCTGTACCACTCAATACTCCCTATAATATGCGATATCAAATCCGACCCATTCCATCAAAAGTTTTTTCCCGAAACGAAGAGTGCTAAATCATAGTCGAAATCATCTTTCATAACTGATTTATTCTCAACACTTCACTTCTTTTCATCAGTGATGTGTGATCAACATTTTATCATACCCGTTATTGCTACTGTATCGCCATCATTTCGTTGTTATGCAATAATCGACAATTATTTGCTGTAATCACTATACATTATAATTAATATTTTCAAATGTAAACTGCTACATAAAACCATGACTGATGGTATGAATTGGTGATACTGATTGTCTCGATGCAATTATAATCAGTTGAGTTTTATTCATGATCTGAAAACGTATGCGACGACCGTGTAATTGATTTTGAAATTTCATATGAAATTGTTGGAATTTGGATTCCAGAATGGAATTAATCAATTAATCAACTAGATGAACAGTTCTTATCTTCGGCAATTAATACAGTAATGAATTAATAAACAAATGATAAATTCCACTCAGTCAAAGCAAGATAATCGATCAGGGTTGGTGACAACTATGAGTGGTTATGTGACTGAATATTACCCTTTTTCACTTTGTTCAACCACTCATTCCGGTAGAATGCGAGCAATTCAAATCAACTGCAAACCGTTAATGATCCAAGCAAAATAATGAGCGTAAAATTACTGTGTAATGATTTAATGGAATGAAACAAATTAGACTTTCGTGGCTATGTAGACAATTAGTTATTGATCAATATCATTGACTGTATCATTCAGCTACTTTTTAAAATAATATTAACATGTTCCATGGTTGACAAAACAGTCATGCAGCATCATGAATAAAGAAGGGTAATTTCTAGTGCTGCTTAAGTGTTTTAGCAAATTATCATTACTGCTAATACTGTTCGTTTCCAGTTGTTATTCGATGAAAATAACAAATTAAAACAAAATGAAGAAAATAAAATGTGAATTACTTCGATGAGTGTGAATCCCAAAACGATTTTCAGTGTGCGACTTCACTGATCTCTGCACAAGCAAATTGAATGCTGTCAATCGAATTAGGCGGATAAATGTGTGTTTGATAATTACGATGACGATGATGAGAAATTGAGAAGAATAATTTAAATGGGTAATAATTAATCAGTTGATTACTTAAATGTATGCGTGTCACTTGGGTGTGTGTGTGTGTATGTATGTATGTATGAAACAGCCACATAATGTAAAGTCATTGTTCCGTCTAATTGCTTAAGCGGATTCATTCCTCAAATAATGAGGATGCTGCAGATGACGACAATGAAGGTGGTATTATGGCGGACAGGGATTGCGATTGTGGTATTACCGGACTGAACTGAGCCAAGCTGGTTGCTCAACTTATGTATTAATGATGAGAAATGATTGAGAGAAAGAGATGCCTAATCGGAAAATATGTCTTTTATAAGGCAATCACTTTGAGCAAATTAGTTTGAGGAATGATGCCGCCAGTATGTACAATGATATAATGGGATAATAACATTAATATAATATAAAGTAACAAAAGTATGTATTCTATTTCATGGTTGTTTATAAGCGAAATTGGTGAATGAATAAATGAATTAATGAATTCAGCCATCCGTCCGAGCATATTGCATAGTGGGTATATGATTGATTTAATCGTCGTTTTATATCGTTCTCTTCGAGTTTATCCACATCCCATACGTATAAACTATACCAGATTGTATTTACTTCCAACATATTCTTCCACGGTGAATGCCAGGCTCGTAACCAGAAACGATTATTGGGCATTAATTCATTCGTTGTCAGTTTCACCACAAATCCTATTTGTAATCTCATTTAATCATATTTTGTCATAGATGCCTTCTCATCTTGCTGCATCTGTGACATGGATAAACGATTGGAACCGAAAGGGACGAGACGTATTGCTAAGCAGCGGGAACTGTGCAAAAATAAAACGAGAAGAAATCAAATAAATGGATGATCAATCAACTAATATTATTGCTTCGCTTTGTTTGTTTTCATAATTGCGGTTAGCAAATAAAATATGCTCGTTAAAAAAGTGCTGTTCGAACAAAGAAAAGTTGAACCGAAAAAAGAAACAAACAAAGCTCGTCTCAAGACTGAATGCAATCAATTCTCAACAAAAGCAATGATAATTAAAACTGAAGTATGTAATTGCTGATTGACTTAGGTGATTGATGCTTAATGATATCTAACAATAATTTATGATACACATTTCGCACAAATATATAAATAGGCATACCGCATTCTTAAGCATGTTCCTTCATTGTGCTA